CTCTGTTATATACATAACCAGTATGTATAAATATGTGTGAATTTGAGAAAGACAGAGAGTGTATACAGATTTGTCACATGGGATGTTAAAGTTTATCAAAGGATTAAAAATATAAACACAAAATTAGAATGACAAATTATCAAATCATAAGTAGCCTCCAACGATATTACTGGAGTGGGACTAAAGCTATGTTGGAACATAAAACCACATGGGCTCTAAAAGATTTTAAAAAGACATAGTTATTTTCTTGGCATGCATTTTTCTGAGTTCCCCTATGGTTATTTAATATTTTGAACCTTGATTATGGGGCAAGATGATATTATCTGTATAAATGTAAAGTTGTTTTCCAGTCAGCCTGGCGCTGCAGACTTGCAAGTACTATCCAGACCCTGGGAAACTAAGGAAGACATCAATAAAGCTATGCTGATTCCACCCCGCCAGCAGGACCCTGAGATAACAGCAAGGACAAGAGCAGAAACCAGATGGAGCCCTGGCAAGACCTTGCACCTGGCTCATTGCACAGAGTTCCCACAGCTTACATCCCCGTCCCTCGTGCTTTTCATTTCCCATGTTCCATTTTCTCTACCCCTTCAGTAAATCTGAGTCTTTGCAACAGCTTTAGCCTGGCCATTCTCCTTCAGGTTTATCTAAAGTACTCAGGTTTACCAGTATTCCTGAATAAAAGCTGACTTCCATTTTCACCAGCCTTTGACTTTAGAGTGGTTTGCTTTTGAAAGGGGGCAGGCAGCCAGACTTAGGCCTCTAACAATATTTAGTTTAACACCTTCACCTATAAATACCTCCATGTCAACTTCTCACTTTATTCTTTTCTCTACTTTCTTATCATTCTTATTGTGACATGAAATGACCATAGGTACTAATAGCCAGTCCAGAACTATGCCTCATATAAATAACTTCCAAATTTTATCCAGAGAAATTATTAAAAATCTAATTTTAAGACTTTCTAGGATAAAAACATACATCTATCATGGGCTTAAAGGCATTTGGAAACTAAGCTTTACAGTATTCATCTACTTAACAGACGCTCTCAACATATCTCCTGAAATTCGTAAGAATTTATAAAAAGTATGTCTTCTCTGTTAGGCCAAATAAAAAATGCATGCAATTGGCCACAAGAAAATTTAGAGTACAAAAGCAACTCAAAGTACATTTCATATCAGTGTTGAGGTAGAATTATCTACATATATCAAGATGCACACAGCTAAATAATGTTTGCTTCTCTGGCTTAATTTAGTTTCTTAAGGTTTTTCAATCGTCTTCCCTAACATTTCATTGTCATTCTCCCTGCATTCAGCCAAACTACACGAAAAGTACCATTATACGTATTTCTAATTCTTCACTTTTTCTGCTTTACTAATTGGGTGAGCATTTGTTGTCAGCCTTACACAAGGTACCATGATTGCTGCGAGAGATACAAAACTGAAAAGATAAGATCCCCGCCCTTAAGACCACTGTCTGATTGAAGAAACACAAAAATAAACAAACAAGCCTACAACAATATTAAGCACTATGCGAACGGGATCGCATGGGAGGGAGAGCTAAACAAGGAAAATTTTCTAGAAGAGATGTCTTCTCAGGTAAATCAAGAAGGAAAAGGAGTAGAGTTAAGCAAACAGATGTCTTCTGAGGTAAATCAAGAAGAAAAAGTAGTAGAGTTAAGGTAGGCACAGTAGATGGAAGACAGGAGAAGAAAACCCAGACAATGGTAGCAGTATATGTAAAGGCTTATGGCTCATTATAGAAAAAGCAAGTACTTTCATATGCTATAGTAAAACGAAATAGGAAGACAGAAAGCTGTCAAGGCAAGAAAAAAAATCAGATCACAAAGGGTCAAACATGTTCTTCTTTTTTTTTTTTTTAAAAGATGACCGGTAAGGGGATCTCAACCCTTGGCTTGGTGTTGTCAGCACCACGCTCAGCCAGTGAGCAAACCGGCCATCCATATATGGGATCCGAACCCGGGGCCTTGGTGTTATCAGCACCGCACTCTCCATAGTGAGCCACGGGCCGGCTCCAAACATGTTCTTCTAAAGAGCATGAATTTTATCCTGGAGACAAAAAAGATCCACTGAAGGATTTTAAGTAGACAAGCATGAAATAAAGAGATAGGAGTTTTAAAATGGCAATGGGGAATAAATGTTGAAAAAGACAAGACAGAGATCATCTAGGACTCCAGTACAGTAATCCAAACAAGAAATGATATCTTGAATTAAGACAGTAACCACGGACATCAAGAGGAGGCAAAATTCAAGACAAAGTAAAAGATGGTAAAATAGGTAGCACTTGATAATTGAAAATATAAGATTGATAAGAGGGGTAAGTGTGAAAATGACACGTGGATATTATGACAGTCTTAGAAATAAGAAATGAAGAAGTAGGTTATGCATAGTATACAGTCAACTGAATAAAATGACTGCAAAATAATTAAATCTACATGATTTCTTAAACACACACAAACGGAAAAAAGTCTGGTTAACAACAGTTATCTCTAGGTAGTAAAATTATGTGGGTTTTTTTCCTTTTTGCTTTACTGATTTTTCCAATTTTGTCTATAATTAGAACAAGTTTCCTTTTAGTTAGAGAAGTATTTTTCTTAAAAAAAAAAACAAAAGCATGAAATAAAGAGATAGGAGTTTTAAAATGGCAATGGGGAATAAATGTTGAAAAAGACAAGACAGAGATCATCTAGGACTCCAGTACAGTAATCCAAACAATGATATCTTGAATTAAGACAGTAACCACGGACATCAAGAGGAGGCAAAATTCAAGACAAAGTAAAAGATGGTAAAATAGGTAGCACTTGATAATTGAAAATATAAGATTGATAAGAGGGGTAAGTGTGAAAATGACACGTGGATATTATGACAGTCTTAGAAATAAGAAATGAAGAAGTAGGTTATGCATAGTATACAGTCAACTGAATAAAATGACTGCAAAATAATTAAATCTACATGATTTCTTAAACACACACAAACGGAAAAAAGTCTGGTTAACAACAGTTATCTCTAGGTAGTAAAATTATGTGGGTTTTTTTCCTTTTTGCTTTACTGATTTTTCCAATTTTGTCTATAATTAGAACAAGTTTCCTTTTAGTTAGATAAGTATTTTCCTTAAAAAAAAAAAAAAAAAAAAACACAACAATTGAGTTTCCTCCCCCTCAACTGCTGTTAAGGTAAGTATTTAAATCAAGAGACAGCGCTGTAGACAATGTCTGCAAACTAACTTATGAACAGAACTAAGTTATATTTTTTAAACACAGGCATTTTAGAAAAAGAGAAAAGTACTCTTGCTTGCCCACTGCTAATGGAAATCAGAAAAGGATTACACATTAAACAATCCCAAACCAAACTGCTTACATTAAATCTCAATAAAATTATTCCACATGCAGTGAAGCTACTCAAATCAAATATATGCAAAAATGTCAAAAATGCCACTAGACATATACAACATAAGAAAACAAGATAAAAAATATATACAAAAATGAACTGAAATTTTAAATAAGATCTGTTTCCTTCAACAACAGAGTCCCTTATTTTTAAAGTTTACACCCTAGCACTCAAAAACAAGAGATGTTACTTCACAGACTTGAAATAAAATTGCAAAAGAACAATATTTTTAGGGGCCATCGAGGCTAATAAAGATGATGCGAAAGATTGAATGACTTTGATAAAAAGAAATTGAACAAAGAAGCTGTGTCATTTCTGAACTCAATGGTCAAGTCCAGCAAAAGAGAAACATAAATATTACACAGGCTACTAGAAGTTCTAGTGAGATTGAAGAGATGGCTAGAAATCCACAGTTCCTAAGTTGCTCTTGCTGAATCCTATAAATAAGTGAAAATGAAGAAAATCTACAGCACACAGGAAGGAATGTATGAGGGAATGGCTAGTTTCTGAAGACTGACTACCAAGGCAAAGGCTAAAGAGAAGCGAGAAAGAGAGGTTTTTCTTTCCATCTTCTCCCCTAAAAACAATTCTGCACCTCACCTCTTTTCAGTTTTCATCTTTATTGCTCTTAGTCCTTTTACTAGTCCATTTACAAGGTAATTTTAATAATCTCCTAATACTTGTTCATCACTGTTGATAATTTTTCATCCAAACAACTCTCCTTTGGAGTTAAAAACATATATACTAGCATTCTCTTTTCATAGTAATAAATTCATAATGTCCTCTACTGATCTCCTTAGGCTTTCTTTGGCTCTCTTACCTCTAAAACCTGCCTCCAACTACCTTTTCCATTAACTTCTCAGTTTCTTTCCTCAAAGCCAAATCTCTAAAAACCATTTGTTTGGCTTGGTTGTCAAACTGCAAGACTAGTATTGCAGAATTGGAAGAAGTACATATTAAATGGTCAAGCCTGAAAAGTATATCATAATTAAGAACTATGTTTTACGATATATGCATATGAATGCATCTACAGACTGAAATCAAGGTAAATTAAAGACTTTGTGATTCTAATTCTTAGAACTGGTTAATCGATCAACAAATATTTACTACATGCTATAATGGAATTAGTACCATACATGATAACAAACAGTACACAAAATTAAATAAGAAAAGATGCATACCTGAATTCTCTACAGAGAAGAGGACAAATAAGACGTTTAAAGGAATCATCCAGTGAATTATGTAAGATCTTCATTAACTCTGGCCTTGCAAAGCCACGTGGTCTCCACCTGCAAAAAAGAAAAGGCCATACAAAAATTGATACAACAAGAATAAGACCATGAAAGGGTTCCTGAAAGAAAGCAGAAGGAGAGGAGTAGAAAAGGGGGAAAAACCTTTACTGAAGCCAAAGTAACATAATCTGTGAGGAGAGGCTGTGCCGTCTGGAAATTATTACTATGACATCTGGAGTTTTTATTTTTTAAATCCCGGTAACTATGGTGAGACATATAACTTAAGGGAAAAAATTTCCTCTTCTGGGAAGAGTCTCCAAAAGCATTATTAATAATGGCTAAATCATAAGTTATAAGATATAAGTCACACAAAAAAATTACTACAGCACTGCTATATTGTGTACCTCCCCAAATTCATATACTGAAGCCCTAACCCCCAATGTGAAGGTATTTGGAGATGGGGCCTTTGGGAGCAAATTAGGTTTAGATGAGGTCATGAGAGTGGGTCTCTTGGAATTAGTGCCCTTACAAAAAGAAACACCAGAGAGCTTGTTCTCTTTCTCTCCCTCTCCACCATGTGAGGACACAGAAAGAAGGCGGCTGTCTGCAAGCCAGGAAGAGAGTCTTCACCAGGAACTAAAATGGCCAGCACCTTAATCTTGGACTTTCCAGCCTCTAGAAGTATGAGAAAATAAATTTCTGTTGTTTAAGCCACCCAGTCTACCTGGGTTATGGGACAAAATGTTAGGAAGATAGTCCTTAGAGAAAGAAAGATCTTAATGGAGTGAATTTTTTTTAATGTACGTATCTGATATCTGCTAAATGTCATTCCCTTCAAGCCCCAACCAAGGTTTCCCAATTGTTTGCAGAAAAATGCCATAAATCCTTATATATTACCTACCCACACCCTCTCAAAGCCCCAAAGTCTTCTTTAACCCTTAAGATCCTTCCTTAGCTTGGACTGCTCTGCTCACCTCCCTAGAAAAGAGTGCTGTGAGTCTATTTTATACCTGAGGATTCCTCAATTACTCTCATTCAGTTGACCTTTAGACCATTAGACCAGGCCCTAAAAGATAATAGCCCCATACTTGTTTCCTACATTATAGAAACTCCTTTTTGTTCTTTACCTAACAACATTTTCATTTCACTGGCTTCCTGGGATCTATTCATGGTACTTAGCACACTAAGGGACCTGAAACAGTACAGTGAATCCACAGACCTTATTACTTTTTCTATCTTTAAACTTAAATACAATGAGTTTGCTTTATAGGATATCATCTCAAAACTTTATTTTTCCTCTAATTCAATACCTCTAGTTAAATACCTCTGAATAAAACTAAGAAGCACCTGAGTTAAACCAAATTCCACAATACAAATCACATGCTATATAAGATGTGCACAATGAAGCACAAAATTACAGTGGGGGGTCACGAACTCAAATACCTACAAAAGCCAGGATACTACTGTAAACAACTGAACAAGACCTTAGTCCTAAACTGTATGTTTTTGACAGAGACATGTTTATTCACTCATTACACACAAAGAAATATTCTCCACTTTGACAAAGAAATATGCTCTCCCCATTTCTTACATGTAAGATAAGGATAGGCTGTCACCTAATTTTCATTTTTCCACATTTAAAAGAGAACTGGATACAGGAAATAGTTCCCCTTAAGTCTACTACATGAAAAACAGGAGCACAATTTTAGAGAACAGAAATTTATTCATCAAGTTAAAGACACAAACATCTGCAAGCTCAAGAAGAGAAGTTCTGGTCATTATATAATCCAACTCATGGATGGGGAATTGTTGAGATCATTCCCTCACATGTTTTTGTTTAAAGAGCAAACACAGAAACTCGCATTATTGGGGTTCTCACAAACATAACAACTATTTCAGCATCTGATAAGCTTAGAAATGGAAAGATTCATATTATCTTTTATTATTATTATTATTATTATTTAAATTTTTATTTATTTTGTCTTTTTCGTGACCGGTAAGGGGATCACAACCCTTGGTGTGGTGTCACCCGCACCGCGCTCAGCCAGTGAGCGCACCGGCCATTCCTATATAGGATCCGAACCCACAGCGGGAGCATCGCTGTGCTCCCAGCGCCGCACTCTCCCGAGTGCGCCACGTGCCGGCCCCATATTATCTTTTAATTCTAGTTTTCCACAAACTTTTTGAAGTACCCTTGTATTTGTCTAGTTTACAGGTGGATCTCCAACATCTAGCATATAACCTAAACGGATGATGTTGGGAAAATAGAATAGCTTGGTCAGGGCCCTCGCCTCGGGTCCAGCTGGGTGTGGTTCAGCATTCTTTGTAAGCAAATTATGTGTGTGTGTGTGTGTGTGTGTGTGTGTGTGTAGTGTGCATGCACGCCAATGTATCTTTTTAGTTTTTTGCTATTCTTGTGTTCTTCTTGAGAGAGAGAGAGAGAGAGGAGTTTTAGTGAAGCAGGCAGGTGGGCGTCTGCCCTGGGCGTGTGGGGTCTGGTGACCCAGCCTGGCATACGAAGGGTTTGTGACCCAGTCCGTGAATTGGCTTGAGGGGTCTGGGAGCTCCAGACCCAGACCTAGCTCAACAATCAGCCTAGTCAGCAGGATTACCAGCAGGTAAAAGAGCTCGACAACTGGCGTGGTCATGGAGCTAGACAATTGGTGTCGCAAACAGGATAAGTAGCTCTGCAGTTGGCGCTGTGAGCAGGATTTTGACATTAGCCATAGCCTAGCTGGAGCGCCACAACTGGTGTAGTGAGGACAGGATTAAGAGCTCTACCACTGGCTAAGTCGGCAGAATGCCGACATCAGCCTTAGCCCTGGCTCCACAGATGAGTACATGAGAGAGGAGGAGGGTGGAAAGGTAGGAAAAAAGAGAGTAAAAAAAGGATGAAAAGATTCATCAAGTAAGCATCTCCAATAATTTGAATGTGTTTAAAGAAAAGAAAAAAATCCTTGAGAATAGTACTTTAGTTACCTGAGAAATGTTTCTGCTCTTAGAATTATCTATATGAAGAAAAACTGCTAAACCTGACTGAAAATTATATTACTATACCCTAATGGTATAATACATATATTGTAGGTAAAATAATATTACCAATTATTCAACTGGAGTAGAACCAAACAAAATAAAATATAGATAAGCTAAGGAAAAACAAATCACTGTAAAGAAAACCATTCCTTGACATTTACTTAGTATAAAGATAATTGGTTAAAGCATAACTAATACTTCTTTAACTATTGAGGACTAACTCTGATACTGAGTATATGAATATCTGTAGGAAAATAAGCTAGAAATTGTATCCAATTTACTGTGATCTATTTACTAAAACATTTCTAAAAAGGGAATAAGCACAATAATCCCACCGCTCTGTAATAATAGATAATCAAAGGCCTGCTCTTTACCAGGCATTGTAGTACACAATTACATGGTATATCACTTAATTCTCTCAAATCTATGAGGAAGATATTACTCATTATTTTAAGGATAATGAAACTGAGAAAGAAATTAAGTAACATGGCCATGGTCACATGGGTAGAAAGTAATATAACTGAAATATACCCATTTCTCAGGATTTTGCTCTTTCTATGAAACTGTCTTAGAGTTTCATTATATCTTAAATTGAAATTATCTAATTTCTTAATACAATCTTTTTTTTTTTTTTTTGTCTTTTTCTGTGTCCGGCAACGGATCGCAACCCTCAGTGTTGCCCCCGTACCGGACCGGGGACCGGCAACGGTATCGCAACCCTCGGCGTTGCTCCCGTGCCTCGTTTTGTCCGTTAATACAATCTTTTAAATCTAAGATTTCTTTTCCTTTTTATTTTCAATGGAATACGGTATCGCAACCCTCGGCGTTGCTCCCGTGCCTCGCTCAGCCAGTGAGCGGGAACCGGTCCGTTAATACAATCTTTTAAATCTAAGATTTCTTTTCCTTTTTATTTTCAATGGAACTTGCTTATTTACAAAGGAAATAAGCACTGATTAAAAAATGACAGCTATAAAAAAGGGCATATAATAGAAAATAAAAATCTCATATCAGAAAGAAGGAATAAACTGTTTATTATCTTCTCAGACTTTTTCCTACACATACATAGGTATCATTTGCCACTAACGAGATCATACTATAAATATAATTATAAACTGTCTTTTTAACCTAAAAAGACATGTTTATATCTCCACTTTTAGCTCTATCTCAACTTTTCCAAACCGTATGAATATAATGTAATTGCCTTAAGTAATCTACCTACTAATTAACATTTACATTGTTGCTTTACTTGATGCTTGCTTAGTTAGTATTATTCGGTTCAGCAAGTTGATCCTTCATGGAATTGGCTTTTTGCAAACTGGCTTCCAATGAATTGACACAAGAGCTATGTTGGATGAGAGAGCTAATTCCCAAGGTACACAGCACTTACTCTTCTCAAAGAATATCTCATCTAATTTTTCAAGTAGCATTCTCAGCAATCTCTCTAATGTAAGGACACACAGAGCCAGCTGGTGATGAGCACATCCAAAATTTATATCTCCTCACTGTTAGGTAAGCCACTTTTCCTCTTTGCATCATTTTCTCATTGGTCAAATGGTGGCTACAAACTCTGCTCTACCAACTAAATAGATTGTTGTGAAGCTGAAACACAATCTGAAAAGTTAAAACTAAAAGTTAAAAGTGTTATACAAACATGTGGTACTATTTTTAAAGGTTCCCTTAACAAATGAAAAGGATAATAAAAATTACATATGTTTAGAAATTTCTTTAAAATATCTAATAAATTTAATGTTTATTTCAGTCCTTAATGTGCAAAATATTTTACGTGAATCACATATAGTATGTTTAGTGATTTACAATGTAATATCTGATAAATTAAATTTTAGATTCAATCATCCTTAATGAGCAAAACATTTCAGATATGCTATATACAGTATCATGTTTTCATTAACTTATTTTTTCACAAGAGAAAACATGCTCTTTATAAAAGATTTGAATGGTACAGTGAGGTATTGAAGTAAAAGTCCCTCTCTCTAAAGATAATCACTATTAATAATTTCTAATGCACCTTTCCGGATATTTTCTATTTAAACATACACAACACATATAGTGTACTTATTTTTTTTAAATGTAAAAGGAATACTATATATAGTCACTTGTTTTTTTTTTATTTTTAACATAATAGACATTTTTCTATATTTGTACATACAAATATCAGCATGGTAGTTTAGAAAGAAAAGAGAGAATTCTGTAAAAATCTATAAACAAACCTGTTTTGGATACACCACCTACAGAATTCATTCTTCACTCCATCAGAAATATTGACCTTGACTGTTAGTATCTTCAAATTTTCTCCACGGTTAATTGCCAGAATCTGAGAGCAAACATATATGGCAAAGACTGATAATTCGCAAAACATATAAATGATAAATTTAACCAGTCAACATTTAAGAAACAAACCAAGTGGCTAGCTAAGAGCTTTGTTATTTTTTTAATCATTTATTTACCAAGAATGAATCCAAACCAATAACTTGTTTATACTTTTTTCAAGTAGCTTACCTCCCTCATAAAACCATAACATGCATTTTGAAAATAAAATACAGGTACAAACCCTATCTATCACATTCCTAAAAAAGAGACTGAAGAGAGCTAAAAAATCTCATTTCAGATTCTACTAATTAAAAATTTTGATCATCTGGAGTTGGAAGGGTATACTTTTTACAACTGTGAAAAGATAACTGCTGCTAAGAGAAATACAAATATGCAAAATCCTAAGTACAATATTTAATAGCTACTAATTTTTACCATTTACAGAACCCTTACTAATTGTAGGGCCCATCTAAGCACTTTAAATATATTAACTCAAGTAATCCTTACAACTACCAGTGATGTATGTATTATCATCTTCATTTTATATAACGATTTTTCTGAAACTAACTTGTCCCAAATCACAAAGCTAGCAAATAGCAAAGGAGGAATTTAAACTCAGATCAACCTACTCTTAATTCATATTATATTAAAAGAACAACTGTTTTAAAACACATTAAAAACACTCCTTTAAGAAGTGTCAACAAAACCTAAAGCAAGCAGAAGGAAGGAAATAATAAAGAATAGGATGAAAATTAATAAAATAGAGAATAGAAAAAAAAAATAGAGAATATCAACAAAACCAAACGTTGGTTCTTAGAAAACATCAACAAACTTAAAGGACCTTTTGCTAGACGAACCAAGAAAAAAAGAAAAAAACACTCAAACTACCAAAATCAGGAACTAAAGAAAGGCCATAACTATGAACCTTACAGAAATAAAATGGATTATTATAAGAGAATACTATGAACAACTAATGGACAAATTCCTAAAAAGATATAAACTACCAAAACCAAATACAAAAGAAATAGAAAATCTGAATAGACTTCTAACAAATAAAGACATTGAATTAATAATTTAAAAATTTGCCACAAAGAAATGTCGAAGCTCAGAGGGCTCCACCATAGAATCCGGCCAAACATTTAAAAAAGAATTAATACCAATTCTTTACAAACTTTTCCAAAAAATACAAGAAATGGGAAAACTTCCCAACTGTTTCTATGAGGCCAGTATTACCCTGATACAAAACCAGATAAGAAAACATAGAGAGCAATATCTCTTATAAATATAAATGTAAAAATCCTCAATAAAATAATAGGAAACCAAACCCAGAAATATATAAAACAGATTAGAGTAGAATTTGTTCCAGGAATACCTAGTTGTTTTAAGATCCAAAAATCAATTAACCTAATACATTATATCAACAGAACAAAAATCAAAAATCATATAATCTCAATAGATGCAGAAAGAACAGTTGACAAAATCTAGCAGCCTTTATGATAAAAGCACTCAACAAACTAGGAATAGATGATTCTTCAGTGTTAGAAAGGGCTTGTACAGAAACCTCACGGTTAACATCATATTTAATGGTGAGAGACTGGATCCCTCTAAGACCATGAACAAGACAGGGTGTCAGCTCTTGCCACCTCTATTCAAGATTGTAATGGAGGTTCTGGTCAGGGAGAAGGGAGGGAGGGAATCCAAATTGTAAAGGAATAAGTAAAACTGTCTCTATTTGCAACTAGCATGATCTTGTATATATAGAAAATCCTGGGCCGAGCCCGTAGCACACTCGGGAGAGTGCAGCGCTGGGAGCACAGCAGCGCTCCCGCTGCGGGTTCGGAGCCTATGGCTGAGCACGGTGCGGCCGGTCTCAAAAAAAAAAAAAGAAAGAAAAAAGAAAATCCTAAGGAATCCACTATAAAACTATTAGAACAGAGTTCATCAAAGTTGCAAAACGTAAGATCAATATACAAAAGCAATTCCCACACACCAGCAATAAACATTCTGAAAACAAATTTTTTACTCTGTTTTTCACATACTAGTAATGTAATATATCAAACTTACAAAAAGTCCTGACACAGGAGGACCCATGATGGAGAAGGCAATAGGGTAAGAGAAATAATAGAGCTTGGGGCAGAAACTAAAGTTGAAAGTGAGTAGTGAGATAAAGCAGAATTACTGCAGATGGCAGCACTGAACAAGAAATAGCTAGTGTAAAAGATGCAAGAAGTGGGACATCAATAAAAGAGACAACAAAAACAAAAGGAACAGAAGGTCTCAAGTGACAATGTGAAGGCTGAGTAACAAATTCATGTGGTAGAAAAGACCACACAAAGGACCAATTTGGAGAAGAAAGAAAAAAAAGATACAGCCAGAAATATTAATTTAGTAGACAGCTATAAGAGCTATTCCCACAGTATTTGGAGGAGCTCCAGGAAATGTTGTTCCTTTACCACCGTCTTTCAGTGTTTTTATTCATTTCTGTATTTTGGGGTATTATATACTGGGGTATCTACGGGGAGGCTGGAAAGCAGGGCTCATAGTTAGGGACATGAGGCCTCAGCACTATAGAGATTGGGAAGCCATCTTTATGACCTAGCATATCCTCATTCCAGCCTACAAGATAACTAAAAAGTTTTTAAAACACAGGACTGTTTTTCAAAACCAACATTCCCAAAATGCTTTACTTTCTCAGACCTGAGTACTGTCACACCCAGAAGCCAGTGTCAATCATTATCTTAAATTCAGCCACAAACTAACTCAGAATGCCCCATGTGCTAAACACACTAGTTAAAATGCAGAGACCAACAAAATATTTTCAAACGGAGATTAGAAAGGCTAGATTTTAATAGAATAAAAGTATTCACATTTTTCCCAAAGTTCCAATAAAATTAAATCAACATGAAGGAGGACAAAATATTGCAGCAAAATCATTTCTACAAAAGAAAGTTTTGTATTTTGTATTTTTGAAAAATTATCTTTCATTATGCTGTATCAGTGGACCATAACTAGGCAAATAAAATTTCACTGTACTAACTTTTCAAATTATTTAAAGTATGTACTTCATCTGATATGATAAATACAGTGTACACAAAAGTAAAATTGAAAACTTTAGACATAATAGTGAAACATTTCAAATCTTCAAGGGTAGTACTCATATCAGCTCTATATCCCAAATAGGAACCAACATATAAATAAGTGTTCAAGAAATATTTGTGTGATAATTACACCAAAACAAACAAAAATTTTTTATATCTATATCATAAATTTTAAAAAGTTACATTTTTAACGATGAAAATTAAATATCGCATGAAAAGTAAAACATTCTAGTCTTTTCCATCATCTTCTCTTTATAGCCGTAAATTGCTGACAGGAAGAAAAATAAATTTAAAAAAGTGATTATTGAGGACTTCCAAGTTTGGGGCACCCTCAGTCTGATGATTCCAAATCTCCCTCTCATCTTTCCAGACGAACCATAAAACCAATAAAGAGAATAAATAAAACAACATAGGACCCACATCATTGGCATTTCTAGGAGGTAAAGGATAACAGTGGGCAACTAACAGACAAACCAAAAATTCTGTAAACAAGGAGGCTGGAAAATGAGATATTTGAGGGGAAAATGGCTTTTTAAAATTCCTATGCATACCAGGGACTCTAGCCACCTGCATAGTCAGGGCTAGACACATGCTCTGAAAAGACCTGAGAAAACCTTAAGCTTTCACCTTGGAATGACCTTTGAGCTCCATGCAAACAGGAGGTAAAGGTTAAGGAAGACTTGTTAATGGCCTCACTAAGTGTTAAAGGACTGCCCCAGCACACAGCCAATCTACAAAGGCTGGGAGAGTTTGTGTTTTAGTTTGCTTGTTTGTTTGGCTCCAGGTATTTAAGAAAATCTCTGTCAAATAACTAGCTGGAGACTTTGGTGGCCACACATAACAAGGAAAACAGATTTAATAACCCACAATAAGCAACAACAACTAACACTAGGGAGGGAAGACAATCTGATTTCCAGAGTTGCCAAGTTATAATATTCAAAATATCTTCTTTTTAAAAAAAAAAAAAAAAAAAAAAAACAAGGAATGCAAAGAAACAAGAAAGTATGACCCATTCGTAGGGAAAAAAAAAAGAAATTAATAGAATCAGTCCCTGAGGAAGCTTAGACACTGGCCTTACTCAACAAAGATTTTAAGTCAACTGTCTTAAATATGCTCAGAGTTAAAGAAAATCATGGAGAGAGAACTAAAGAAAGCTGAGAAAATGACGTCTCGACAATATAGAAACCAATAAAGAGTTAGAAATTATAAAAAGAAACCAAATAGAAATTATGGAACCGAAAAGTACAATCACTGAAATGAAAAATTTGCTAGTGGGGTTCAACAGCAAATTTGAACAAACAGAAGAACAAGTCAGCAAACTTGAAGATAGCTCAATTGAGATTATACAGTCCGAGAAGAGAGAAAAAAAAGAAAGAAAAGAAAAAAATATGAACAGAGCCTAAGAGATCTGTAGAATACTATCAAGCATACCCAATGTATATGATGGGAATCCCAGGAGAGGACGGAAATGAGCAGAAAAAATATTTAAGGAAATAAAGACTACGAATTTACCAATTTTGATGAAAAACATTAATTACACATCTAAGAATCACAATGAACTCCAAGGATAAACTGAAAGAGACCCACAACAGGACACATTATAATCAAACTGTCAAAAGATAAAAAAGATAAAAAAGAAAGGGGAGAAGCTACACACACACACACACACACACACACACACATACAAAGACAAAGACAGAATCTTTTTTTTTTTCTTTTTTCCTTTTTGTCTTTTTTCGTGTCCGGCAACGGATCGCAACCCTCAGTGTCGCGCCCGTACCGGACAGGGACCAGCAACGGGATCGCAAACCTCGGTGCTGCGCCCGCACCTCACTCAGCCAGTGAGCAGGAACCGGTCTGTATGTGGGATCCGAACCCTCGGCGGGAGCGCCGCCGCGCTCCCAAGCGGCGCACTGTAGCAGTGTGCCACCGGGCCGGCCCAAAGACAGAATCTTGAATGCTACAAGACAGCTGATTCCTCATCAAAAACTGTGGAAGCCATACCATAAGATAGCAGATCACATATTTAAATTGCTAAAAGAAAAAATGCTGTCACCAAGAATTCTATATCAAGAAAAATTATCCTCCAAAGATGAAGGAAATGTTTAATGGGTATAGAGATTGAGTTTTGCAAGATGACAAAGTTCTGGAGATTGGTTGTACAACAATGAGAATACACTTAACACTACTAAACTGTACACTTAAAAATAGCCAAGACAATACATTTTAAATTATGTGTATTTTTACCACAATTAAAAATAGTTTTTTTAAAAAAAGGAGAAATTAGGATTTGCCAGAAAAACAAAAACTAAGGAAGGGTGTCACTAGTAGATCTACCCTACATTAAATATTATAGGACGTCTTTCAAGCTGGAATGAAAGGACAATAGACAGTAGCTCAAAGCCACACAAAGAAATAAATAACACTGGTAAAACTAGCTACACATGTAAATATAAAAGCCAGTATTATTGTATTTTGATTTAGAACTCCTTTTTTTCTCCTTATATGATTTAAAAGCTGCATTCCACAATGCAGATATAGCCTATGAATACATTTAGAAAAAAAATTAGTAAACTGAAAAATGAAATTAAAAGACTGAGATAAAATGACTAAATGAGATCTCTCATACTTTATTCTAAATCAGGTATCTGTGATTTCTATTTCACATAGAAAAGATCCAGAATTGAACTCAAATGTAAGCATACTGGGGAGCAGAGACTAACAATAAAGATGACCGGACAAAAAGTCAAGATAACTGAGTTGTTACACCGTCAGCTCTGCTAATAACTCTCAGTTTCACTTACTAACTTTTCTGGGTCTTCAGTTCCCCATTTGTGAAATGGAAAAGATATGACAATATTATAAGAATTTAGGATTCAGATCCCTGTACTGGTCAGCCACCCTGCACCCCCCAACCCCCCAAAAAAAGAATTTACATGAAGGAAAAAAGAAAACAGTTGACATAAAATTCTTGAAATCCTCAGTCCTTAGTAAGTTTCAGATCCCTGTACTGGTCAGCCACCCTGCACCCCCCAACCCCCCAAAAAAAGAATTTACACGAAGGAAAAAAGAAAACAGTTGACATAAAATTCTTGAAATCCTCAGTCCTTAGTAAGCAAAGTAGCAGGCAAATCCAAAGTATTATCATTATTACTATAAGCATGCACAAGCAGTTCCCTTATTTACCTGATGATGCTGGATGTTTCTTATGTTGCATGAAAAATTCTGGTAGAGCAAAAACTTATCAACATCTTTCTCATTTACCTTTTTTGAGGACACTTTTGCCAGAGATGACTGGATACAGATGTATCTATTCTGGCACCTGTTTAGATACACAAATGTTCAAAAAATAAGCAGTTATTAATAAGCGCTTTAGTAAAGAAAAACATTATGTAGAAATAAGTATAGAAAAAAAAGTTAAGCTATTACCAAATGAGATTTTTTTAATAATGCCCAACTATGAAAATGATGTTACTGACCCACCAAAGAGGACTCTTTGCCTATTTGTGCTAGCACAGGTCCTACAGATCTATTTATATATCAACCCAATCCCCCATAAAATGCCTAAATGAGTTCAGATACCATTTGTAGTTATACAAGAGACCAAAACTATCTATAAAAAACACACCAATAACTTGGTCTAAATATCCAACCACCAAGTTAGGCAGTCAGTTAATTAAAAGCTAAAAAAGGAGGGAAACAAAAGGATGTGTCAGGACAGCTTCCAACAGCAATTTATAAAACTGAACCAAATATCAGCAGCATAATTACTTGTAAATACACATTTTTAAACCTAAGCAACTCTCCTACTTCAACTCATTCCTGCTGGGGCCACTGAGAAAACAGAAAAGTTCTCTTCCTTGTAAAAACAAAACCCTGACAAGCAACAGTACTCAAGTGGTTCATCTCTGCCTTTCCTCTCCTCCGTACAGCTCACTCAGAGATGTAGAAAGAGAGAGAGAGAGAGAGGAAGAGCAGACCTCTGGAAGAAGTCTGTCTTCTCTTCTGATACACAGCAGAAAAAGACAGAGTACATATAAAAGGGTTTTAAATTAATATCTTTTTTTAAATGAGGAATAAAACTCATATACCCAAGTAGGCTCTCGGTCTAAGAGCTTTAATCTCTTATAAATTGGGACTGTGATTCCATGGATAAGCTGCTCTCCCCAAGAGCTAAAATTCATTCTGAGGTCACCACTTTTATCTATACCTGATATTACACATTCTCATGTCAACCCAATCATTGGTAAACACCAGAAATGAGATATTATAAAATCGAGCATATACACCACAATCAACATGTTTAAAAGGCAATGCCGCCTACTCAAAATGACCATGAATCTCTCTCTAGTATCTATTGTGTAATTCAATGGTTTGTAAACTGTATTCATCAGAGCCCTCCACTGAGGTGCCTCTGTGTAAGGAGGATGAGTAGACAGAGTTCCAGTCTCCCTGCCCAGAATTCAATTAAAACAAATTTACTTTTATCTGTTTTATATATTAAGGTTTTGTTGTTTGAACCAAGAGTTCTGCTACTAAAAAAAAGTACAAATACAAAGTTTTTAATGAACACTGGTGTTAGCACTAACCATGTGACCCTTAACAGCACAAGTCAACAAAGCAGAAAACTCTATAAGAGAGTTACTCACAATTTCCGAATGAAGTCAAGCGTGTCTTTGTCTTTAGCAATCATGTCTGCTAAAATATGCTGCACTCCTGTTTCAACATCCTGGAGCACTGAAAGTCCTTTAGGAGAAGGATAAGGAGAACAAAAACAAAAAGTATAAGATTGGTTTTAAAGTCTATAATTAAATCACAGTAAACTGATTCCAATAAAAATAAAACTTTAAATTGACAAACTCAAGACAGAAAGGTGTCAGCAGTGACTAGCTCCCCTCTGCAACAAAAACAAGCCTCCAAAAGCAATAATTCAGGCCATTACATACTCTATTGCCTAGTGGCAAAAATGCAGCTCTGGAGCCAGCTGCCTGGTCTAATCCTGGCTCCACCACTTATCAATTATGGGACCCTGCACAAGTTACTTGACTTCTCTCTCCCTCAGTTTCCTATAAAAATGGATTAATACTAGTACTGCCTTCAGGAAATGGTTGCAAAAATTAAATGTGTTATGGGAAATATGTATTAATAAAGTCATATCCCAAGGTACACTATTTTATTTGTCACAAAAACTCTCCTTTATGAGCAATTTTATTAGTATTCTTATTTTGGATTATGAGGCATTCATTCACATTTTCAATGACCTAATTGAATTTCTCAAATCTTATATACACAAAGCAGGAGCTATCATGCAGTTGTTCATCTTCACAGTTAAAATGTCTGCCAGTGGAGCATTAAGTTCTCTCCAAGAGCTTTCAGTTTGCTAATTGACAGCAGTGAGTCTCATACATCATGGCCCTTGTGATACCAATTTATACACTGAGAGAGAGCATTTGCATTGCTTTCTTTCATTTCTTTTGTCATTATTGTCCTATTTGCATTAAAGCTTTTTTTTTTTTTTTTTTTTTTTTTTTAT